CTGCAACACAGCTTTTACGCTCATGACAAATGTAATTTTCTCAGTGACCACAAGACTGCTTCAAATACAGTTTTTTTTAGTCCACTACTTTGACCATGTTACTGCCCTTCTTTCTCTGCTATGCTGGTTCCTCTCTTCCCCATCACATCAAATAAAAAAGACTTGACTTGATTTTTAAAGTCCTTCCAGGCTTTTACTGTGACATATTATACTTTCTAATGACTACCTAGACATTGAATCTCATCTCTGTTCAGTTCATGATACCTATCTCAACCAAGTATTTTATTTTCTAATAGCCCTTCCATACTGCCTTCACATTCAAAGGGTGCCTGCAAAGCCTCATTGTTTTCTTTTCAAGAGGCATCTTAAAACTCATCCCATTTGAGATGCCAAAAACTCAATGATAATTAAAAACAGTTAGTGTACAGAGACTACTGGTTTTATATATCTTTACAGACTTGTCCCTTATCTCTTGTTCAAACTTCTTTGTAAATTGTCCAAGATTGGGACAATCCTTTTTGTTCTTTGCGTGTGTTGACATAGTGAATAGCACAATGTATCCTCCCGGATCTTCACTGCAGGCAGTGTAACAGCAGCAACACCGGTAGACTGCTGTTAGTACATAGTGTAGTTTAAAAAGCACAACTGGAGATTTGAGCCTTCTCCCTTTTCCCTTCTTAGTTATGCCTACAAAAAATAAATGCTTTCATCCAGCTGAGCATAGTCATTAGCAATAACTTTTACTAAACATTTACTACACATTTTTTCTGGACACTTGCCTCCATATTGAAGTATCTGATGAACTTCACTTTTGCACTTTTTAATATAACATGCATATACATACGTGCAGTCTGCTACAAAGTCTTGCTCATGCTTATCTAATTGATGCCAGTGAGATTACTCACAGGAGTGAGGACTACTCACATTAACAAAATTTGAAAAATTGAACTGTAATTCACAAAAACTGTTGAACATAGTTCTCTTTATGATGAGTATCTCAAATTCATCTTTATGATGAGTATCTCAAATGTTAATAATTACAATTTGGCCACTGAAAACCACTGAACCCATGAGCCACATTCCACCTCCAGTAACTAGATACTTGCTTAAATAATACTAAGTACAACCTTCATTTTTTCGTCTATATTCAAAAATCAGACCTAACGATTAAGAGTTTACTTTTTAAAATAACTGTTTGTTTTGTGATTTTCCTGATGTCAGAAAAGGTGTTGAATTGTCATGCAATCAGCTTTTAAATTAGAACACCAACCTACTGTATTACTTTTGGAATAGGTCTAGCGCACCTAAAGTACCAGAATATAATGTTCTAATGAACAGAAGCACAGGGTATATTAAACATCTAACATAATACTATTTTATGACAGACTACAGTAACAGTCTAGAAAAGGCTATTCTCTAAATATATTTACTGCTGACTTCTATAGGAATTATGGGGTTTAGCACCAAAGTGTATTTTCTGAACCTCTGCATAACTATGTTTGGCTTTTAAACATTATTTCTGAAACTTACAAGAGAATTGACATTCTTCGATATCCATTCATGTTTAACTGCAAGTCTAGTGAACTCATTTACTAACAGCTTAGTAATTAAATAGCTGGAATAAAAATAAAGCAATCTGTTTATACTTCCGTTAGGAAGGAAATCTGTACAAATTATAAAAGCTTAACAAACCAATATAAAAAGTATTTCTGCTTGTGCTTTCTTTCTCTTTGTTAATCTAAAATGTAACTCTAAGTGGGTTTAATTTCCAAGTCAGACATTTAAAGTTTCTCCCTCCTTTTTAAGCTGTTTCAAAAACTTTCCAAAACTACCTGCCCAAACCAATATTTGTTCCATCTCCCCTCATTACAGTTTGGTTTTTTTTCTAGTTATTTCTTAACATAACCTTGTCTATTATTGGATCGAATTCCACCCTGCTGTAAGGAGCAAATCCAGCAATGTGGACATGTGCTTTCATTGATGGACTACTGCAAGGTTAAGTATGTCTTTCTGATATGATCCTGAGAAGGATACTGAAAAAATGGCTCAAGTTGCATTTCTCTGTGAAACACCATATCAAACATCATCAATTTGTTTGTGTGCTCATCTTCCACTGTTAGCCCATTGGTTAACCTATGATTTTTTGTGTTTTAAGATCTATTGCTATATTAAAAGTCTATGTGTTTCCAGGATTGGGTTCTTAAAAGTGAATTAAGTAGTAGTTGCTGAAATATACAAAGTGACACTGGAAAAATTTCTATTGGAATAGCCACTTACCATAGCAAATTTTGTTCCTTGAATGTACTGCCTCCAAAGAGGCCCCCCTTTGGGATTACCTTCCCTGCCATGAAGCAACAGAAACCATAGAAAATGTTAGATATTAAATGGAATATTCACATCTATTCCAATCTTCTGGAAGAAAACATAGAAAAATCTCCTACTTCTTAACTCCCTAATCATTGTTATATTCCATAAATACCTGAGGTAAAAGTAAACCTGAGAAGCTGGTGTAAATCTGCATAGACAATTCACTTGAGAAAAAGTTATTTTGGTAAATAGCATCCTTCTTCTCTCTTATGACACTGCCTACACAGATCTAGTAAGTAAAAGACTGGTAGAGACAATTCTAAGAACATGGACTGAGGGAGACTACTAGTTGTAGAGAGTGAAGTACTCCTGTCCAAATATTGTAACTCACGTAATGCAAGAAGTCTCACTTGCTTGGGAACTTTTAAGTACATTAGCTACCTCAATGAAGATGTAAACTACTTCTATACTGAAATGGTCTAACCCTTAGCTTTTTGCCAAACCTGACCAAAAAGTTACCTTAAAAAAGGCTTTTGTGTAGTCAAGCAAAAGATTCAGAACCTGTCCAAAAGCTTAAACCAGGACAGCTGTTAAAAATGGCCAACACTATTATAGTCAAGAATATGGGAGAGGAGTGAGGGCATTTTAAGACTGATCACCCTTATAAAAATACACAGACAACTGCAGTTTTGAGAGTTCCTTTTAGATTCTGTAACTACAAGAGGAATATTCAGTGTAGGAGAATGAGAAAGGTACCGCTGCGTCCCTCCAAAGAGATGTGTGACCTTTTGGATGTCAGGAGTTTGACCCTAGGAATGTATGTCTAACTTATTATTTGAGTATGCAACTCCATGAAATCTTTTTGTATGCTATTTTTTCAAGAAAAAAGGAGAGACTTAAATAATTTCCATAAAAAATGAAAGACAGCGTTAAGAATAAATCAAGTATTTTTTAAGCTATCGAAGGAGAAACATGAACTTAGTTCCGCCCCTCCCCCCAAAAAATGTGCCGTAAGCCATGAAGAGAATGGCATTTAACTTTTGGCTCTTCAATTTCTTTCTACTTCACTTGTAGCTCTGGCAAACATTGCTGTCTACTGTGTCACCTACTGACACTTTCTTTCTTCTTTGCTTCTGTTTTCCACAGAAATTGAATAGTTGTTCTTCAAACTGGGGCTTGATTCTGTTGTCCACAGATAGGTGTCTAATGACATTTCAGATGTCCTTTAATATCCCACTTGGCCTCCAGCTGCAGTTCCAGAGTCTCTCGTAAGTTGTGTCGTATCTGCTATCCTCTGTAGATATTTTGGCTACCTTGGAACATCTCAAATAGTAGTAGATGCCTCTTTGCAGGCAACTGTGTCATGCCCTTGCTGTCAAACAACTATTTTCAGAGACTATCATTGCAAACTGTTGATAATGATCTAACCTTTGCTAGGAAAAGGATGAGATTGCTGTGGATATACAGGAAACAGATGTTTTTAAAAGGTTAAAAAAAGCCAAAAGGGTCAAACAGAACCCCATGCCAAACCACCAGATAAAGTCTATGTAGAAACAGAATCTACCACCTTCATTTTCTGGAGTGTTTTACAAATCCATGACTTTTTTATATCATAAAGGTTCTATCCAGGAAAGCTTATCAAAAGTTTCCTTTGTGGATTCATAAGAAAAAAACTTGAAGTCACAACTGGCTCTGAAAGTACTTGCACCTAATCTGAACAGCTGTAAGCAAATACTCCAGATATCCTACATCCAAGGAATGCTTATCACATTCACACAACTGCCGTTACCATCCAAGCATGTCTTTTCTATAAAACTCCAATCAAACTCAGGCGCAGAAAAATGACCTGAGTGCTCTGGCCTTTGAGAGCTCCATCATCTCGGAGCTCATAGGATCAAAACTAAAAAAAAGATACAATTATCTTACTAAATGTGTTCCTCAGATGTATGAAATACAATTTCTAGGATGGAATTTTAAGCCTCTAAAGAATTCTGATGTGCAAAGTGGTATTAAGGCTTCCCTAACAGATCTGCTAAAGCTTTGAGTTTCCCCTCCCCTCTCCCTGAACACGCTACCACTATAATATTCTAACTTCCAGCTGCATGTTGTGATGCTGTTAAAAGGGAGCTGTGAAAAATGTTACTGCACAATTCAGCTTCTGCAACAAACTATTGGTGGACAAAACTTACAGAGCGTTCTGCTACTCTGGATTGTGCCAAGACTGAAAAGTCACCTTATTTTACTTTTTTACAGCAGATGAATACACAGGCAACAGAAGTTTTCTTTGCCTCTCTCCTCTGGACCTCACGCTTGAAGAATGAATGAAATCAACCTTTGAGTATTTAACAAAGTATAAAGACATGTTTAAAGTTTAGAAAGTGAATCAGGAAGATCAAAGTTGTTCTGTCATGTCTCAGTAAGACTTATCTAATTACAGAATTTAACAACCTCTGGAGACCATTTCTATGGCAAGCCAAAAGCTAGAAGAATATAACAGAATCAAATGACTGTATGTTTTAATATGTAACTGGTCTTAAAAACTAGCTTCAAGAAGGTGCAAGTGCTAACTGGTGAAGCATACAGGCTCTTCCGCTGTATTTTCCAAAAACCTTGAAATAAACGTTAAGTATCATTTTGTTTTTAAAAATGATGGGAAAGACATATTTTTGAAAACAAACAAACAAACAAATTACCTGGCAAGGCTTCTTCATTTTAATTGCTATAACATGGTATCTGTAACAGCAGAGTTCACAGGTCCATGACCCTCTTTCACTTATCCACTTTAACAGGCAAAGCTGATGCGTGTATCGTACTGACCCATCGCAGCGGCAAGGATTTAATAATTCACCCTGAAAAGGCAGCACAGAAACATTAATTTTAAAGGAATCTTTTATGTACATGTAGACTCAGTACAAAAATATTTACAGGTCTGTAACAATGAACGGGTCTCTATTTCAATACGTGAAAAAACATGTATTTTTGGCTATAAAAATTCTCAAAAATTAAACTGTCTTAAAAACATCCAAGTGCTTCTAATGAGTCAAAGCCAGGTAACTGTCTATGCATGCATAGGTACATATGTGAAAAAAATGAAAGATTACCGTGCATCAAACAACAGTAGCATTAGCCCTTTCAAATACCTCAAATGGTACCAAAAGTGGTTAGATGCATTTCTCCAACAGTTATCTGCAGTCATCACTAGGAAAGAAACGGGTGATGTCACAGAGAACCGTGCTCTCGGAGCAGGGTTCTGCGCTGTCCAGCTAGCCAGCTGTCAGGCAGGATCTCAGATAACGTAACTAAACACTTCCCCCAGTAGTTCACATATTTCTATATTATACAAATCGGCTATTCTCTTCTTTCCTTGAAAAGATTTTTTTTTAGCTAAACTACAAGACAAGCTATAAAATGCTAGTTACGGATCCATTGCTGATATTGTGCCCAGTAATGTAATGACAGAGAAGATACTCGGAGGTCTTCTCAACATTACCTGTAAGCTAACGCTCTCATTTTAAAGTCAAGTAGACACCCGAGAAATTCGTGCTGTTCAAAGTCCCCCAGGGGAGAGCCAGCGAACGTGATGGCAAGAAGATGTACAGCGTGCAAGCCAGCCATAGCAAATCTCTGGTTTTTCCCAAAGCTCTGCGCCGACTCAGAATTGCCCCGAGCGTTTGTCACAACCGCCTCGCACAGCAGCTGCGGC